AAACCCTAAACCCTAAATAATATCAAAATCATCCCCAAACCCTAAATAATATCAAGTTTATGGTTTAAACCCTAAATAATATCAAAATCATCCCCAAACCCTAAATAATATCAAGTTTAAGGTTTAAACTCTAAACCTCAAACCCTAAACCCTAAATAATGTCAAAATCATCTCCAAACCCTAAATAATATCAAGTTTAAGGTTTAAACTCTAAACCTCAAAACCCTAAACCCTAAATAATATCAAAATCATCCCCAATCCCTAAATAATATCATAATCATCCCCAAACCCTAAACTCTAAAGAGTATCATAATCTTCGTGTGAATAATTAATTAATGAATTAAATTTGAGACGAAAAAAAGAAAAAAAAAAGTGCGTGTATGGATGGCAATTGAATGTCATAAAAGGTGCATCACCACACATGTCCCCTGTCAAATCAAAACAGGTGTTGTCCTTATTCTTCTTCATTTATTGTCCAAAACCATTCCTTCTTCGTCACATTTTAAGCTCATTAATTTATCTATTTAAATTCACCTTCCTTTGTTTTTATACTATTTTATGCCCGTGCAACACCCACCATCGGTGGTGTATTAGACGTTGGACTTCGAAAAAGGTAAATAGTAAGATCTCATATTGATTAGACAAAGAAACGTATGTTCTTTTCAAATGTGTGAAAATTCCTCTCTAACAATATGTCTTAAAAACTTTAAGGCACGAAAGAGAAAGTTCAAACAAGACAATGTCGGCTAACAGTGGGTTGAATTGGATTCTAAATAAACAATTTGATAATTTTAGTGCACCCAATTTTAATATTTTATGGTCGAGTGGAGTTAGATTCATTATTTAATAAAAACGATTTGGATTAAAAAAATTGTATGTATATGGCCAAATATTATGGGGCCATATTTCTTCCAACAATTCCACAAATTTATGAGAAACCTAAATTTGTTGTGGGCCAAATGGGCTATAAATTTGTTGTGGGCCAAATGGGCTATGTCAAAGGCTAGTTGGATCAGGCCCAATATGAAAAGGAGCCCAATCGTTTCACTTATGCTTATACATGATGATTATATGCTACTCTCAAAATTTGAACTAATATCTTAATTATTAAACTAGGATGATTTTTTACTTAATTAACTATCTTAATCAACATTAACTCAATTGGATTAATCTTCATCAAAAACCCTAACCCACTGAATCTATCGGGGAAAAGAAGGGATTCATTTTCCTTGTCCAGACTTTCACAAGCCCTAGCTTCCAATCAAAGCTCAATCCCCTGCCTCGGCGCTACTGATTTCTACACGGTATGACTATCTCTTCCTTCTAATCTTCGATTCTAGAATGAATCTTGTAGTTTATACGAATTTCGAATTGGACGAAACATTTTCTCTTTCGCGGTTTATGCGTTTCGGCAAGTTTCGATTTGTTTGAGGAAGCAACCCAGTGAGTTTTGTGTACTGTCTGATATGAAGTTGACTTGAAACGTAGCACTTAAATTATTTTTCTTACTGTGTTTGTGGGTGGGGGGAGGGGAGGGGGGTCTTTTTCAATATTTCGATTATGGTTGATTGATTTGAACCCCGAATATCTTTGTTGGATGATTTGCTTCAGATTCGTCTTGCTTTGACATGAAAAGGGCAATGCCATGGAGCGATGAAGAGGACAATTCGTCATCTAAAGAGTCGTCTTTATCACAGTCGGATTCAGACGCTGATGAAGATAGTGGCGATGCAAAAGCGATCTTTCGAGTTAAAGCTGGCCGGTCCTCTAA